CCCCAAAACCCCAAAACCCCAAAACCCCTTAAGGATAATTTTTTGAAATAATTGGAAGTATATAATTTAAATATCTGAAATAATTATAATTGTATAATCTTATTTGATTAAAAAATAGCAAATTCTAATTAACTCAGTATATCAAATGGATTATAAGGAAATTCAAAGTCTATCTAACTATCAAATGATAAAAGATGTCCTCAAAATTGCAATTCCTGCCATGTTTGCATCAATGTCATTTGGAATCGTTGAAGCAATGAATCTTATATTTATGGGATTCCTAGGTGATGCAACTCTAATAGCAGGAGTGGGTTTGGGCAATGTATATATCGTAATTTTTGGAATCATAACATTGTGTGGGTTTAACAGTATACTTAGCACATTGGTCTCTTAGAGTTATGGCTAGGGAAATTTAAAGCTATGTGGTACATATTTAAATAGAGGAAGAGTTGTAACGATCTTTGCCTTCATCCCTGTAGCTTTTATAATGCTAAATGCCAAATATTTCTTTTAAATAACTGGTGTTTAAGAGAAAACTTCTGAGTAAGCACAGCTATATATATGGTACATGTTGCCAGGATTATTTCTAAATGTGCAATTTGATCAGCTTAGAGTATTCTTGAACTCCTTTGGAAAGACTTATGTTTCAATGTATGTTTAGATCTTGACTTGCGCTCTTCATTACTTTTGGAGCTACTTGTTTATAGACCATCTTGGAATGAACTTAAAGGGCACAGCATATTCAAATACTTTGACTTAACTAACAAATATCATATTGATTGCCATTTTCATCAGCTTTGAAAAAGATATTAAGGATGCATTCTTCTGGCCTGATAGACAATCATTTGTTGGATTATGGAGCTATGTTAAAATGGCTATACCTGCGATGCTCCTTTGGGGTATAGAATCATGGGCTTTTTCTGCATAAACTATAATGGTTAGCACAGTTTCAAACAATATGGCTGCAGCTCAATCAATTATCCATAATATTATGATGCTTGCATTCATGATTACAATAGGCAATACATATGCCTCCTCAGCTCTAATTGGTAAATTCATTGGTTCAAATGATATTCCAAAAGCAAAGGCTTACCTAAGGGTCTTGACATACTTTGGTCTCTTATTAGCCTTTATTTAATGGTTTATAGTGTATTTTTTTGGAAAGTATATCTTCTATATTTTTACAGATGAGGAAGAAGTTTAGATTTTAATTCAAAATGTTACTTATCTGATCGCAATGAATGCTTTCTTTGACTGCACTATGGGATGGCTAAGTGGAGTAATTAGGGGACTTGGTGTTTTGAAAAAGGCTCTATTAGGAATTGTGATAGTATTCTATTTTATTGGCATTCCTCTCTAGTACTATTTGCTTTTCAAACAAAAGATGGGGTTGGTGGCCATATGGACAGGAATGCTAGTTTCGTAGGTAATAGTAACTTTCTATTATCTGTACTTAATCCACATTCACACTGATTGGAATAAGGCTGCAGAAGAGTCAGCTTCTAGGGCTTTGAAAGAAAAAACTGAAGCAGAGAAAAGAGATCAAGATGCTAAAGACAAAAAAATGTAGCTAAGCAATAAGTTGATTGCTTGATCAAATTAAAAAACCTTAATATCTTACTAACTGATAAGCGAAAACCAATCATATTTTGCTTTTGAATAAAATTGATTATTTATCTTTTGTATAATCTAATCCTTTTTTAAATGTTTATTGCGGGGTTTTGGGGTTTTGGGG